AGAATGCTTTGCGTGTAAATAAGATGGCTCTGTCCGTGTTAAAATATATTTTAAAACATTTACAAAACTAAACATTCTACAGTATTTTTACAGTCTTTATTTTACAGTTAAAATAAATGTTTATCAAATAAAGTTTAATGTTACAACTAATCGTGGATCCCTTTAATTCTTCCAAAATGTGCCTTGAAACTAGTTTGGATCATTATATAAAATAAAAAAGGTAAAACAAAAAGTATCACATTATAGAAAATATTTATAAAGTAAATATATAGGGAAACAAAAAAGCTTCACCTGTGGGTGCAGGAGCAGCAGGAGCAGCAGGAGCAGCAGGATTGGATGAAGCCTGCTGAGGAACGGGTGCAGAACATTTTTCTACCACATCTCCTGCAAGTTATCAGAGAAGTGTAAAGACTTTGTAACTCTTAACATGTCTGTGATGCACAAAAACAGATTTTGTATTACAAGGCAGAGAATCATTGAGAGAAACACACAACTGAGTCTGATTCAACAAGGACTTCCCACTAACAATGGGCTGCACAGTTAGTTTGTTGACTCACAGCAAGAAGGCCCATAGTTTGACACCTGGTTGGAGACTTTGAGAGGACTTTGCCGTTTCCTTTCAGTGTCCAAAAACATGAATGTTAGATTCAGTGGCAACTCTAAACTGTAAACTGTTTGTCTCATGTGGACCTGGGGTGTCCTATGTCCTGTCCTGGCTCAGACCCACCTCTGAAAACTGTCAAGTGCTTGAGTCGTGCACATGGCTGAAACTTGATCTGAGGGATTCAGGAACTTCTACAGATTATTTTACTTGTTTAAGAACGCCTTAATCAAATTTATTAAAAATTAATTTATGTCTGTCAAAAAAGAGTGGGAAAGTAGTCCCAAACGTTATTACAGTACAGTATCTGTAGTAGTATTTGTTGCACTCACCAGGAGGAGGAGGTAATGAGCTCAGCACTACTGCTTCTCCTCGGTCCACAGCCTCCAGCAGCGAGTCAAGCTTCTGCGCAGGGAAACATTTTGTTTGTTTGCTTTAGATAACAGATGAACTTCCTTCAGGACTACGCAACAGATTAGATCAGGGGTGGGCAATCCTGGTCCTCGAGGGCCGCAGCCCTGCATGTTGTACATTTTTTCCCTGCTCCAACACACCTGATTCTGTCACTGAACTACCTCTTCCAAGTTCTGCAGTATGGAGGACCGAAACTGACGTAATTAGAAATAAAAGCAGAAATAGATAAATGAACCTTTAAATAAATAAATACTGTATTTATTCATTTATAAAACTAGAAATTTAATCCTAAAAATCATCCATAAAATAGGGGGTCGTATTATACACGGGTTATTGGTGATTAGATTTTTTTATGCTTTTTAAGCTCAAAAATGATGATCGTATTATACTTGACATCGTATTATACATGAATAAATACGGTACATTTAAATGCACCAAACAAATTAAAAAGGAGAACTTTACCTTATGTTTTATAATTTGATTGACCTTCATATTTATTTTTCCAGCTTAGTTCCAATAAATTATATATTTTAACACATAATTTAAATTTTTTTTTAATTTCTATTTTACATAGTTATTACTTGTACATGCATTTGGGTCTCTTGAATGCTTAAAGTGGATTATTTTTTATAATTTTGTCCAACAAGTCTTTTTATTTCTATGTGTTGCATGCTTGCGCTGCCTTAAAGTTTAGTTAAAAATAAATGCACATGTAACGTTTTCTTCCTTGCCTTTGTTTTAAACTAAACTTTAAACTTTTAGCTAAACTG